GAAAAAAAAAAAAAAAAAAAAACGACGAAATTAATCGCAAACGACGTGCGTTTTTTGTTTTTTTTCAACACACACACGCATAATTAATAATAATAATTAATATCGTTGTACCGTATCGTCGCCGTTTGTTACGACGGGTCTGATTTCCAGTTGGAAAAAAAAAAAAAAAATAAAAAAAAAAAACAAGCCACTCTTGGTTTTTTTTTCGCGACGACTACGCGTGTGAACATTTTGTGTAAACTGGGCGCGGGGCTGTGGAGGGGGGATACGAAAAATTCCCCGCGGACAAACAATAATAATATTTGTTGTTCGTCGTTTCAACGATTCATTAATTATCGCGTACGCCGCGCGCCCGATAATTTTTATAATAAATTTTTCGTGAAACGTGACGAAACGCCGCGCCGCGTTCTTAGCCCCGCCGCCGCCGCCCGCTCGCCGCGGTCGCCGCCCACCGCGTGTCACTTCACCGCCCGCCGCGTAAAACCGTGTCACTTCACCGCCGTCCCGCCGCCGTCCCACCGCCGCCGCCGCCGCCGCCGACCGTGTCACTTCACCGCCGGTCCCTTGGCCGCCCGTCAGCCCGCACCGCTCGTGCGTAGTAGTATTACGTAATACGTATACCATATACACGTATATACCTACGCGTGTACGCACTTACATTTTCTATACGCACACATAACACAGGAGACTGTACACTGTATACTCGTATATATTTTCGGGATATTATTATTGTATTAGATTGTATAAAGTTTTCGCGATCCGGTACGCGGCGGACGGGCACGGGTAGGACGAAGAAGAGGAATAGCGGTAGAAGGAGAAGGTGGTGGACGTCGACGACGGCGAGGGGGGCTGGGGAGGAACGCGCCGTCTTCTTTGCCGACGCCCCCGTCGGGCCCGGCGACTCGCGCTCGCCGACGAAAGAGGCGGCGTCGCGGTTGCGCAGACAACGGCGGCGGGCGATTCGCGGCCGCCCCTGTGCGGTAGGCGTCGGCGTCGCGCTCCGTCGGCGACGGCCGCGGCGGCGGCGGCGCTGCGGGCGTCAGCGCCGACCACCGAGTGTACCGTTCCGCGGAGCTTCAGTCGATCCACCGACACTAACCGTCAAACAGTCTCGCGCTCCACAACCTCTCGAGACCATCCGAGTCTCTCTCTCTCTCTCTCTCTGTCTCTCTCTCTTTGTCCGAGTTTTAAGTTGTGTCAATCCGCGGTGCCCGTTGCACAACACCACGCAGTCTCTCTCCGGCGATCATACCGCGCACTTCTCGCATTTCGCTCCGCGACACACCCATCGGCCTAACCGTCGTCGTTGTTCATTATTATATTACTAACATTACATCGTTACAGTTTTATAATAAAATTACAATTTGATCATACGGCCTTCGTTCGTCTTTCGATCGTCTCTCCGCGATTACGGCGATATTATTATTATGACATAATAATAATATTTACTATCCGCGAACATAATATAACACCGCGGCGGTCCGACGAAAAAAAAAATAAATAAATAAATAAACTTCAAAAAAACAATTTAAAAAAAAAATATCTATCTTCGAAAAATCGCACGCAATCTATTTGCGATCGCGCAACAATATTACACCGTCGTCGCGAATAATCCGTTAATTTCCCGCGGCTCGAGATGTATTCGTGGTTCTTCCTGTTTCCCGTCATTGCTTTTATCGTGTCTGAGTTAGTACGGAAATTTCAACGAGACAACCAGGAATCACCCAGACACGAAAGATACCGTGACAACCGCCGCCAAAACGAGTAAGAGACCGGCGCGCGCGCCCGTCCGTCCACCGCGGTACGCCCGTACCGTAATAACACCGGGAGACCAGCTCAGCGCCGTCGGGCCGTCAGTCGGCAGCCGGCAGTCGAACGATTGCCACTAGCGCACGTCCGCCGTCCAACGCGCGGCTCTCGTCGTCGTCCGCGTGATTCCGGTATTGTTCCCCCGAATACGTTCATGACCGAAATGGTGTTTTCAAACGTCTCGTGCCAGGTTTGTCGAATTATTGCTAATTAATTTACATAAGTATACCGCACGCGTCACGGCGTGTACGACCGCCGCACAAAACATATACCACCACTGATATCACAAACGACACAACCACCACCACCACCACAACCACCATTACTACTACCAATACCGATACAACCGAACGTTCGAAAAATGCCTACGAACCCTAATAATTATTTTGACACCATCATGAAATTCCTCAACACCGAAACCACCATCGCGATATTCGTGTTGGCGATTATATTATTATTTATTATTATTATTATAATTGTGCAATGGAGTTACGATAGGCCGGCCCCCGAAACCGAGGTCCCGTTAACCCCCCGACAACAGTTTACCGTAAAATACCGCGTCGGATTCAACGAATACCACAACTCCTTACCGAATACCCAGCGCCGTACGGCGGAACGCGAAGCCAGAAGATTGAGACAGAAACAATTTCGCATTACCTGTATTGTAGTAATCGCCTTCATGTTGATCTTGTGGTTCATTTATCGGCTGGACATAAACCTCGTAACCTATTACTGTAAGTTTCCATGATATTATCTACCGTATATTATAATACAATATATTTAATTTAAAATATTAATTACGTAAATAATAATAATTAGTGTTAAGGTTGATTTTTTTTTTTTCATTATATTTATAAGGTATTGTGTTGCGAGTGGCGGGGGGACGTTTTATTAAAAATATTATGTACGATTTCGATTAGGTATACATTTTGAATTTAGATTTTTGACACAGCGGAATCGCTATTATCTATTCGTTATGATAGGTTTTTTTTAAAAAAAAAACAACTAATGGCTGCCCAAATATATTCCGGGAGAAAAAAAAATTTCGAAGTCCGTTAAAATTCGATTATTTTGTTCGTCATTAACAATATTATTAAAAATAAAAATAAAAAACTGAATTAATTTCAATTCGGACCGTTTGGTAAATCTATCGGCTGTGTAGCGTTGGGTGGCGTATTTAAAGAAGGGGGTAGTGGGTGGGTGGGTGGGCTAGTGGGCGGGCAGTTGAGGAGATATACGTCTGCCCTTTAGAATTTTTGTTTTCTCGTATCTCCTGACGTATATGAACGGTATTCACGCAATTAACGGGGAAAAAATCGTCAAAATGTCCAATAATAAATAATGTCCTTCAAAACGTATAATATTCGAATACGCGTGATTTCCATACGAATTTCAAAATCGAATCTTCCGCTCCCACCTTCCCCCCCCCATCCCGTCACTTGAACTTATTGGCTTAGACGCGCACGTACTATTAGAATGTTGTAACATTACATTATTGTTTACACGAGGGGACGAAGAATAAAAGATTTTATTATTATTGTCAATTCACGGGCGGCGATTTATTTAAACGAGTATAATTCGAGAGAATCAACGAACAAAAAAAAAAAACCCCACTCAAGCCACCTCCCGGCCGTCCGGGAATTGCGGGCGTAGAATATATTTATTTTTATATAATATAATCGTCGTCCGAATTTCATCGGTTGGCGCGGCGAGGGGAGGAGGGGAGGGAGCTGACGAAACGTTCGTCTTTAGAAACCCGACAGCGAAATATTATTATCGTCGCGAACGATAACTGTTGAGATAGTGGTATACGGTGTCATTGACAAGACAATAATGCCACGCTCGCGGTTAACTAGATATGATTGGTTTAAGCGTTACAGGTCCGGGCATAAGGTAAGTGCGCGGTACGAGCATCGGCAGTGTGGGGCGTGGCGTTCCTACAACGAAAGTGTAAGTTTCCGATTTACAGGTGTCGCGGAGTCGATTAGACGTAAAACAAATTTTAAAAAAATTCGAAAAAATCCGTTCAGTAGTGCCGAGCGAATTCGCATCAGTGGTGAAATATATTTACCCTGCACCGAGTATACAAGGCTGACGGCGGGGGGCGTAGCCAAGGGGGCGGTGGTACGGGGGGCGTTGCGGGGTTAACACTCCCGCATCGTTCATACCGATATTAACCCTCCGATATCATTCGTTGTTTTTCAAAAATCCGGATTTACTCCTATTACAAATAATATTTATACCTACATGCGCCTTTGATCGTAATCGTTCGATAGTCCGATACCGGATTTTTCCTAAAAATATAATATTATAGACTCGTTCATCTTTATAGAACGTTTTTTTTTTTTCTATTATTTTTCTCCCCCTCATTGGGCGCCCTATATGAAAGCGAATATCTCTATAATATTTTTCTGTAGCCTCTTCACAGTGTACCATAAACTTTGTATGATTTTAAGATCATTTAGGAAACCAACTTATATTATTTATTATTCCGTTATGTTTTTAACTGTAACCGGATTCCAGATTCGAGATTTCTTTCCAGTGCCCACCCTACAAACATTAACCCCCCCCCCCTCCCGTCCACCCAAATATCAACCAAACACCCACACATCCACCCATCCATCCATCTACATACACAACCACCCCCTCTCTTCATAATATTCAGACGCCGTCGCTTTTTAAAAACCCTTTCATCACGCCACTGGTGCCGAATAGCTGGCATTATCAATTGGGAGCTATAATAACAACTTAATATAGATATATTTCGGATTTTCACGGTGATCTATTTATTTTTAATTTCGTCCATGTTCCAGACAAATATTTTATAACGCTAGTGAATTTCGTTTTTCGTATTATTGCAGTCGATCAACGACATATTAATTTTGAAATTCCATAATATTCTATCATGTAGGTAAAATATTGAAAGTAATAATAATTGATTAGATACTCACTTCGATCGAAATAAGTTTTGGTTAAAAAAAAAATATTAAATGTAGTTTTAGATATTCTAAGCGTATTACGATGCATTATTTTTTTTCTTTGGCAATCTGTTGACAACTTTTGCTATCACAAATTTTGCTCTAATCAAAAAACGACAAGAGAGACAATTTTTGATTCAATTTTGCCTCCATTATTGATTTTATTTGTATTTATCACGGTAGGTTTTTCATTGTAGGAAACACGGGAAAATGTACAATAAGGGTTTCGTTATTTTCAAGTCTTTTGGTTTTCATTTAGTTTTATATAAATGAAATTGTTTTGGCAGAGTAGATGTTTGAAAATTGTACACGATGTTCATTATAAGTTCTACCTGGTGTTAAACATTTTGACGATCATTGTAAAAATTACGGAATCCCAGAACATGTTTACCGAATTGGCTCAGAATCGTATTTCGTTAGCAATAATTTATCGTTTCGTACAGATATAATTCAAACGACTTTATATATTCTATTTTCCCGTCTTATCCACATCAGTGACGTACCCATTGGCGGTATCAGCTTTTGTTTAAAACGAATTACATACTTCAGTTCTAATTATTTTAACTTTTTTACTACAGGTACCGATCTCGTTCATTTTTAAATATTGACCACAGTAAGGAAAAAAATAAATAAACGATACTGTATTAGCAATTTTTTTTTTTTTTTTGGAATTCAGTTAAAAATAGGTATAATCGTAGTAGAAATCTAAAATATTTTCCAAATACTTATTTAAGTTATTTTAAGATGTGATCAATTTCAACATTTTCCGAAAAATTTAAGATGCACGAATTTGTTTGGTTTTTATTTCAATTTTTTTGTGGGTAATATAATATTGACTTTTCAAAATTGTTGGGAAATTCTATAAATTACGCTAGAATAATCGAAAATCCGTTTTTTTTTTAAATTTCAAACGTTTTCGGCACTACATGTAAATACTAAACAATTTGAGCCGAAAAAACACGGACAATCCATAGTGTAAATTTCTAATCAATCGTTATTACATTATTATTATTATTATTATTGTTTACGTCATATTTTATCGAAACACGTTTAACCGAACTCTGTTCAGAATCGTTTTTTTTTTCGTTAGCAACGATTGTAGATATTATAAACCAAATTATCCTATGTACACAATAACCTGCCTATTCAAAAATTTCGTTACATTCGTTAGTATTCAAAATATATCGACGATGAAATCCCTCGATTTTACGCGATTGATTAATCGTATTAATTAAAATATATTGAATTATTAAATCAGCCGTAATTACAAATTAGTTAATATTAGCGGTGGCTGTATTTATTCTAATCGAATTTTCGCCCTATTTCATATTACGATACGGTTTATTCGATTCATCCGAGCGGTCGTGCGATATTCGAACGTATTCAAGTCTCCCCGTCGTTTCCTATAGCCGAGAAACATAATATTTCCGTGATAAATCCACCGAATATGACAACGCGAACGCCGAGCGGATTCGGTTAAACAGAACCGTCAACATTCGGTAAATTAAATGTTTGAATGAAAAAAAATAATAATAACCCACGACACAGACCGCACGTTATTGGTCACACATATTTTAACCGTTTCATAACAGGATACGGTAATTAATCGTTCGTTGTGTCGCGGCCGCATAAATTACGCATTTATGCGTCGCCGCCGACGGAATCTCCAGGGACTAATCAAATAGGCCATAATTTACCGTTGACTTTTTATTGAACTCATAAAAATAATAACGCTACCCGACAAAATATGATTGTGTGCACGTACTCGACGGCACTTTAATATAATACAATACAATATATACATATACAATATTTATACTGCAGGAACGGTTCGTATATTATACAGGACAATAATAATTGTATCGGTTAACACGAAAACCTAAATTAATAGGACAATAATGTCGGACGGGGGGTGGGGAGGGGGAGGGGGCTGGGCGGTGCGGAAATCTACGACGTTCGGAGGTCCCGGTTTATTGGGTTCAACGACGCGTCAAGAGGGCGTCGCCGGTAAAACGTTACAATATTATTGCCGTCTACACGTGTCTGTACAGCGAAAAACGGTTTTTTACACTTTCCACGGTACTCGGCATCTAATATCTTTATGTTTTTAATTTTCATCGTATATTTTTGTCGAATTTTCGAGACCGTTGTACTGACTTTAGTGGGTTAATCATAGTAATACAAAATACAATGTACATATTATTTAGTTTCTCCGCCCATTTTGTACATTTCTTTTGGCTTTTTCTAGACAAAATTAGCTCAAAGTTGGGAATTTATATCGTATCATACGCGGATAAAAGTGATTAAAATGGGTGGAAATTCAATATGAATCAGAAAATAATAAAGTAAAAATAAAATCATTAAAACGGTTAATACTCGTTAATAACCATATGGATAAAAAAATGTATATACAAACATAAATTAATCAATGCGTCACCTGGAGTATTATAAGTGCATTATACAACCGGTTTCGAATTAAAAATTCGTCATCAGGTATATCACAGTCAAAACGTAAAACGTAACTGAATAAAACAATTAACTGAAGGAATATATAGAAAAGAAAAATTTTAAAATTATACAAATTGGTCGTTTTACATAAAAATAATTTATTTTAATAGGAGTGATTATTTAAAATGGGATATTATTATTTTTATTGATAAAATTAATAAAACTAATATTGAGCCAGGTTACAAAATGATTTCTTTTGGCGTCAAAAACGTATACACATCCATTTCTAAACACGAAACAGTACATTTTTTAAAAAATAAATCTATACATAGTAATAAATTGAATACAAACGAAATACAAGAAATTATTCAATCAATAAATATAATAATTAATTAAAACTATTTCCAGCATAATAATAAATTATACTTGCAAAAAGAAGGTTTAGTTATGGGTGGTCCCTTAAGTGCCCTTTTATCTGAAATTTACATGCAAAATTATGAAACCAATAATATTATTAAAAACAAAATATACAGTTCATATATAAAAACATATTATAGATATGTTGATGACACATTCATTTTATTTAGAGCTTCAAACAGAAGAGCAGACAATTAAGTTAACTACTTAAACAAAATAAATACAAATATTCAATTTACACTTGGAATACAAATAAACAATAAATTAAATTTTAGTGTTTACAAGAAACCTACACAAACTGATTCTATAATATGATGTGTCACCCTTGTTCTCAAAAAATATCATTTTAGATTCTGAGAGGAACGAAGTAATTTATGGTTTTACAAAGATGTTTATTTATTTTTTTTTTTTTCTGTTAACAACTTTTCTGCCAGAAGTCTTGCTCGGATTTCTGAGTGTAGCACCTTTTCTGAAAATAAATCTGTGTGGGGAGGTAATTTCTCGATTTTCTCAAGAGTTTCGTCATTAAATTTGAAAAACAAAAAAAAAAATTAAACGTGCAAATGTAAGAAATATAGGTTATCTATTAGTTAAAATATATTACGGACCTTCTGTTTTTCTGTGCACAGCTTTTCTGCCAACAATTTTGCTCCAACTACACCAAAAATACTCCTTTTTTTTTGAAAATGCTGGTATAAATAAACTTAAATGTATTTGAAATAAATTGTATATAGCTAAGACAAATAGACATTTTAAAACAAAATATAAAGAACACATTTCTGAAATAAAATTTAAAAATAATGCCCCTAATTCAAATTTCGCTGAACATGTTTTATAAAATAACCATAATATAAGCTTTGATATTGATACAGGCTTAGAAATAATAAATACCGAAAATATCATTTACATTAATTCATTTTTAGAAGAATTACATCTATGGTATTTACCACCATACAGACTTCCCGAATTAAAGCAGTGGGATGCAATTTTCTGTTCGCACGGCGTCAGTATCTTTTTCAACTTCTCTACACATACCATTTTAGATTCTGAATGAAGCATAGCATAGTCCATGGCTTTACGATATTTTTTTTTTTTTTATCTGTGAACAACTTTTCTACCGAAATATTGCTCCGATTTACAAGCGTGACACATTTTCTGAAAGGAAATCTGACTTGGGTAGTACTTTAAAGAAGCCATTTTTTGATTTTTCCTGTAGAAGTTTTCCCAATAAATAGGAAAAACCATGGGAAAATAGATCAATATTAAACAAATATTATTAAAGAAAATGTTTAATGAATTTTGCAATTATTTGACCATGATATGACATATTATAGAATGTTGAGAAAGCATCACTATTAATTGAACTCCGCTCAGAATCGTTTTATTGTTAGTAATAATTAATCATTATTTATTAATATACGTTAAATTTTCCTCTATGCATAATACATTCCCAACTTCTCATCTATAACAGAGGCTTACCCATTGTGCGAAGTTGCCCTGGTTTTTATGATTAAAATTCACAATTTCACCATTTTTCGAAAGCAGTATAATAATTTATAGTGGGTATAGTATATATATATTGTATAGTATTGTATTACAGTATTCGGGTATTTGCTTTTTGCAAAAAATATTTAAATAGTTTTATTAAAAAAAATAGGTAAGGGAGGGGAAAATTTAATCCTAGTTATGGTGACGGCTGGAGTTCTGTCGCTCACTGGTGTCTTTTTTTTACAATTTGTGTTTCTATTTAATTGTTATTTTTTTTCAATAGTTTGAAATTACTTATAACCATAAAGGTATGGTTTACCCTTTTTTTTTATTTCAACTGTTCATTTACGAAAATGTATTAATACCTCGAGTCCTTTTTATCATAAAAAAAAAAACAATTCAAACATAAGATTTATTAATTACGACTGAACGCATTTCATAACTAAACCATAATAAGGCGATCGTTGTATAAATCACTACAACTCGGTTTGAAAATGCACACGGAAATGCCGTAAATTGACACGAACAGAACTGGATTCGACCTCTTTCTCGGTGAAAACCGTCCGATCGTTGTCTAAATGAAAATGGTCCCGGCGAATATGCCACTCTGGTGTATCGTATAATAATTACTAATACTATTACAATAATATCTATAGTAAAGTATTATTTTTTTTGTCCTATCCGCAGTACCTATTATATATTATTGTACACTTAATTCTCTATCTAAAAAATTATACTTCATAATTTATTATCGAGACTTTCAGCCAATTATTACCAATTAATATTCTGAAATTGTCTTCGCGTCGTTAATTTATTATTTATACGTAGGCATAACCAATAAAAAAATATCGTGTATAGCACACTGTCTCAGTGAATTGGAAAAAAAAATATATGTATATAAACAATATTCGGTTACATTTTTACTGTTCTCTTTAATAAACGGTCTTGTTGTTCTGTACATACGCATCAGTATAATACTCGTAGAATATTATTAATATGATTAGTCATAGTTATCATTAATAAAAAAAAATACCATTGGTTATGTGTATTTTTTTCTCAGAAAACTTTTTTACGATTAGTAAAGTGATCAGATTTCAAAAAGTCGCTTATTTTAATGTTTTAGATTTGAAAGGTTGCAAGGCACGTTTCACTATGACTTTTTAGTCATAGTGTTCTATATTCCCAGGACACATGTTTGGTTGGTTGGCTTAAAAACATCACGTAAATAATTTAGGTATGTGGTAACGTTTAATGTTTTATTTGATAGCATAATAAGTCTAGCAGTGTTGAATCCATACAATTTTTTTTTTTTTTTGGAGGGGGGAGGTTGGAAGGCATTACTAAAATTATAGTAATATTCTTTTTTTTTTATCTACCCTCTTACTAAGATCAGTCAAATTTATATGTTTAATTATTTAATTAATTATTCATTTGCATACATTTAATAGGCGGGGCAAACAAAATTTCAGGGGGGCAATCGCTCCCCCCCAGACGTATACTTGAATTCAACACTGATGTCTAGTTTTTATTGATAATAGAATAGTTATCTATAATATTAGTTATTCTATATTATAAGTTATACTTATTGGATCGTACGTTCCTAACTTTCCCCCTTCAACGGTTGGCCGCGCCCGTTCCCAGTATCAGCTCTTTTTTCGTTGTTTAAAATAAGTATTATGTTATGATAATATGCGCACTTATCGTTGTTTTCTGTGATCCACAAGTGTTTACTTTGAAAACCGTTGATCTATCGTTTTCGACTCTCCTATCGGCCGCATAGAATTTTCAATTGTTCGCGTTACACGTTATAATATTGTAAATCAACAGTTTGCAGCTATATATTGTGAAGTCGGCCTACTCCGTTAAAATATGATTTTACCACCTGTGAATTGATTTCAATAGAAATTACGTAGTGTATTTTCTCTGTTTCGTATATTTATTTGAGTTTACGGTCCTTTAATATTCTGATCACAGTCAGAAATGTATTGCAGGTTACACTACTACGACGGGGAGGTTTTTTTCTCCCCGTTTATTATCACCTGCGATTATTCTGTCGGGAATTTCGCTTCGATTAATCAAGTGGTAGCTTTTTTTCTAAAATCTAATTTCGTCTAGTCGGTGTTTTGTAAAGGCTATTTTTTGATTCGCTTCGTAGTTTTCATAATAATTCGGAAAACAACTGAAGAAAAATGGGAATTTTCACCGGCGTAATAACGGTTTCATTATTTTTTTATTTTGTTTTTGCGGTGTTTTTTTTTTTTTTTTTTTTTTAACTCGGTTAAAAAATGCTCGTAGAAACCCGGCGTATTCATAGAATACTTATATCAGTCTTTTCTAAACGCGGTACAATTTCCGAACAAATATCCTAGGTACTTATACTTTTCCCTGCAAACTCACACTCTATATGCTCCGTTTTACGTCAAATTATCTTTGTTGTATTTTCTTCAAGCGCTACTCTTTATTCTTCGAGTCTATTGCTAAATTCTTCCGGATTTTATATTATCAAAGATGTATCATCTGCCAACACCATGCACCGCGGTACTTCCTCCACCCATTGTCCCCGCGCACGTTCGAGATGCGACAATGCGCCCGAATCTTGCCCAGAACTCTTCGTACTGTTTAACGCACAGCCAGTGGCAATTTTCAATGGGAGGGGATGTAGTAAACAAGAATTGTAAATAAATCGTGAAATTGTCCTTTCTACCCAACTCGACTATGGAATTGGTAATTTAAAAAACGTTTCCTAAAAAAAAAACAACTTCTAATCAATAATACGTTAAACTCTTTCTCATAAATTTGCTGAAATATATGCATTTCGATAATAGATAACTCATATTTTTTTGTATTTTAAAGCCAATTGGGGGAGGGATATAACCCCTAACCTCCACTCTTGCGCACAATAATATCGTATGCTGGGTATGTTATGCGTCTTGCATTGTTCGAATTTCGTTCAAAGCTATCGGCGCGTGTAAAACAATAATAATACTTTATGAACCTGCCGAACATTTGTAGTGAAATTTATTTTTATATTATTATTTTATAATTATTCGCAAAAAACAGAAAATATATTATGTGTATTTAACGCGTTTTTCCGTTTTTTTTCTTCTTCTTCTCCTTACAGATATCAATGGCGACAATATCATCCCGTTAAACAGGCGTTCTGTAGAGGCGACCGAAGAAGGCCGGATCATCTTACTTTTTTCTAAACTCTTGGTACTAGCGACCATCGCCTTATTTTCATCAATTCTCTCACTTAGATTGACATTAGCTCGTATTCAACGAGAATACCAAGAGGACCTCGACAGAGAAGCCCGTGCACATAACCCTGACGCCCGTACAGAAGACCCCGAAGCCCATGTAGAAGACCCCGCCGAATCCGAAAACTCGCACTCTCAGAACACCGGACCCGCCGCCGCTGACGCTGCACCAGCAGCGGATTATTTCAGTTTCAATTACCTTCGTCACCACGCTCGTTTATGGATAGTACGAGTGTGGTGTATGAGGGGCGCGAGTTAGAAAACTCCAACGACTCCTCGGACATTGAATTACAACCGCAGCAACTGACCAACCAAACAACTCAAACAACTCAAACAACTCAAACAACATCGCCACTTCAGATTGCTACTGTTGAATTCGTTCGATTCACTCCGCCCCAAGCACCACCACTCCCCGAAACACCAATCGCCATAGAAATACCAAAAATTTCGACCAACGACCTATTGAAATGCCATCACCGTAGGAGAAACGCCATACGCAGAAGAACGCCGAGAAAATAGAATCCCTAAAAAAAAAAAAACAAACAAAAATTAAAAATTAATACCGCGCCATTAGCCATGTTCGCATGCCCGTAGTCTCCAAACTCCAGAACACAATATAATAATAATATATAATAATCGCGATGTAGTAATAAAAAAATTAGTACCGATGTAACTGTAGCTACGTGGCCGGTGGTCACCTCAACGGGGCTTTTACGGATACACAACCGCGGCTCCGGTAGTAAATAAATTTATTGGTTCGGATCCTCCGGGACCGATAAATTTATGTTACTACCGATAGAAATGTAGTAATTTGGAGCAAATTTATTGTAGGTTTATTTGATTGATGTGTTTTCCGATGAGCCGTAAGCTGCCGCTTGCAACTCAGTTGCACGCAGCTTACGTGCCTTGGAAACCATCAAGATTAGCAGATCCCAATGATCCCCGTAGATTTAACTGGTGCCTAGTTTGTCTTCAGTGTCGGTGTGACAAGTGCCAGGAAATGTGCTCATTACCGAATTCTCACGTGTGCCGTATGAGACGAGTGCCGGGGACCTGCCTATCATCCGCCGCGGCCACCTGCTGCAGTTGGCTGTCGAAAATCGGACTGTGCGTCCCAGTGGAAGACGGCATGCGTCTTCAAGTACGAGACACGGGCGACGCGATCAACGTGGACGACGCGATCAACGTGGACGACGCGATCAACGTGGACGACGCGATCAACGTGGACGACGCGATCAACGTGGGCGACGCGATCAACGTGGGCGACGAGATCAACGTGGTCGACACGAGCAACGCGGACCGCGTCACGGGCTGTTGCGCGTACTGTTGCGCTTTAGCGTCGTACACGTGGCGTGCGATCTACAAACGCGTCACGGCGTGTTTCCGATGTTGCGTCCCACCCGCCGGCGAAAACCGACCGGCCAGATGCGGCAGCGTCCGACGCAGCAGTTGCGCCGAAAATTGTTCCGGAAACATTAACGTTCCGGAATGCCGCTGCATCAACTGGGAGACGTTGCGCAACGACCGCCGGAACATCGCGGCGACCGCGCACGGCCCGTTCGACCAGAACAGCAGCCGCCGCAGACGCCGTCTTCGCGGCCAAAGTCCCGGCAGAGCGCCGGGCAACAAACACTCCGAGCCGCCGAACGCCGTCGGGACCGTGTCCACCAACACCCCCGTCGTCATGGCCACCATTGTCAAGACCGGGAACATACGATGGTCCGCTACTCACACCAGGATCGTCGTGGTCGACGTCCACGGAGACTCAAACTTCGGCCACGCGCCGAAACCGTTCACGAAATCCCGTGCGACGATTTCGTCGGGCAGCCGTCTGCTGGCCATCCGTGCGCCCCAACGTCAGTTTCTCTAGGACGGACGCCAAACCGGTAACATCGAACGCATCATTATCATTATCCTAATCATTCTGCTCATTATCGTTATCGGGGGACGGATTTGTACGGCACGTTCCGGGGATTTGTTTTGAAATCCGTTATTGTTGCGTACAGTAAATATTACACGGGCTCGTGATACTAGTGGGTCATAACAACACGTATACATCCGGCCTCCCGATATTTCGATAAAATAATTTCGTAGCGTTAGAATTGCCGGTATCGAAAATTTAATAAACAAATAAATAGATAAATAAATAAATAAATAAATAAATAAATAAATAAATCAAAATTAAAATCAACGAAATTAACGAAAAATGTAGAGTTTCTCCGTGCGTTTTTGTCCGTATGGACTGTGAATATTTGTAAATATTAATAATAATAATAATAATAGAAAAACAAAACTATATCATAAGTTATATTATATTATTACGTTATATTATTACGCGTTAAATGTTTTCAAGTATATTTAGTGTTGTGTTTGTAAGTGTTTATCGTTAATATTAATGCGGTGTTCCTACGCGTACCGCAAAATTACCGAGCGCGCGGTGCGCGACATAGATAGGCTTATAGGTTTTCGTTTTTATCTGTTCCTGTATTTTTGCCCCTTTTTGCCCCTTTTTGCTATAGTTTTTCGAACCAACAGTTTCGGCGGACAGTAACGTATTGCGTGCGGGCCGTGTCCCGCGAAGACGTCCGCGACGGAATGCGAACGGAGGCTCGGTCCCGAACGGGAGGCGAAATCCGTATTGTGCACGGTCCCAGTCCCGTATCGCATTCCGTCTGGGACAGTATCCGCCGGCGCCGGCGTGCGATAGAATTCCGGTGTTGTTTTTTTGTTTCTTTCTACCCCCGGCCAATTTACAAATTGCTCCCGAGCATAAGGACTACGAGTAGTATTTTATATTTGAATTAAATTTCGGTGTAGAAAAATTTAAAAAAAAGCGACTTTTTCCCGAGATGTTCGAAGACGGCCGCCGTTTTTTTTTTCCGAGGGTGTCGTTTATTCAAGAACATAACAAACGTGTACGTTATTTTTGCGTTTACGGCCGCGGTACGGACTATGCGCCAGTTTTATCCGCTCTCCGGAACGTCGAAAATGACAAGCGAGAACAAACCCTCACTGTGAAAAACGACGGCCGCCCCGCGTCTTCACTTGGAAACAACACCGTGTGTTATATGGTCGAAAAAAGCCGTTTTTTTTTTAAACTTTTCCGCCGCCGATGCGTGCAAATTTAATTCGAATGTCCAAATATCCGCGAGTCATTATGCCCGCGAGTAATATGTAAACGGGGAAAAACGCACCGTCTTTTATCGCGTCCGGGGCCGATGTACGACAACGGGTGGGATACCTTCGCGGGATACCCACTGTACGGTGACAGGGTAGCGTAACGAGATTGCCGCGGCCGTTTGACCTTCTTCCCCTCAAAAAGTTCAACGCGATCGGGCCCCGAAAAACATACAGGCGTTGTCCAGTTTTATCCACCGCACATACAACGCGACCGATGGCTGGGTCGAAAACCGTGCGGCGTGGAATTATTGCAATGTTGCTATTCCGTGCATGCGTGCGTTTAGCGCGCACAAACATCACTTAGGAATGTATTGATTACACGATCGGAACAGCCGAATCGGATGCGGTCGAAATAGCCCGTACGACAATAGTATTGAATTTTCGTTAAACATGCGTTTCCGTAGTACAATCGACTTATCAATAAAATAGAACAAAAAAAAAAAAAAAAAAAAAAAACAAACAAAATTAGAAAAAAATCAAATAAAATAAAATTGAACACGCCATTTAAACCGCATGCCGTATCGTGTACGATCGCGGTGATTTCAAGCAAAGCCATCGATCGAGTTGTATGTGCGGTGGATGTGAAACAGCACGACGCCTGTATATTTTTGGAAACGGGCTCGCGGAGCGTTGCGCTTTTTGAGAGTAAATCGGTCAAACCGACGCGGCGGCCGTGGCGCACCCGTGACGAGGGATGGCGAGGGGAACTCAACATTATTGCCGGGTTTCGGGTCAGGCTGACTGGAAACTCCGGTTTTCGAGCGAACTGCAGGGTGATAGCGAAACGCCCGGGGTCGGTCGTAGCGCGCGGCGACGTTTCCGTTTCCCGAGACGGAACGGACGGCGCGCCGCTCGTTGGCGGGACCGCGCGAAAATCGAGAACGAACCGAACCGCATGGCGCCGCGCGTACCGTGACCGCCCCGGGATCGCCGAGTGAACGAAAACAAACCGGACTGTGATTATACCGAGTGAGAGTTTGACAAACGATTGTTGATAAGTAATAGCGTTTTATTTCATTGTTAAATTTTTCGTTGTAAAATATTATCCACATTCATACATATATATATCATACCCGTTGAGAAATTTCAGATAATAATTGCTGTTGTAAAATATTATGAATGTTGATTTAATGTTGTCCTTCGTTAGAAATTTATCAATGTCTTATTGTTGTCTATGTGTTATGTATTTTATATTTATTATATGCGTGTGTTTGAAATCTAAGTGTCGATATAGTTTATTGGAAAAAAATTTATTTATTATTCTATTAATGGAACGTGTTAACCGTAGAGCAGCTACCTTTTTTTATTTCTTCTGTGATATTCATATTTACCGTATAGATTTAAGTCCGAGCGGCCTCGGAGTCGAAATTCTCGACGAGGCCCTCGAAAATTAACGGAGAATGTTATCGAGACGCGATAATTTCTCTCCCGGCAGGCCGTCGACGGAAAACACATTGGAAACCGATCGAAAAATCGACAAACTCATTGCTTTCGGACCCGCACTGAACACGTACCGTGTCGGAAAAACCGAGTGCCCGAGGGGTTGCCGCGGCCCGGGAGTCTCGCGATTCTCCCCGGCCCCTCCCCGAATCCGGACTCGAACGACGATTATCATGCCGTCCGACGAATGACGCTCGGTACGTCCCGCGTCCGCGGACGGGCTCGTCGATCCCGCGGACCGTCGGTCGCGCGCGCGTGGACGCGACCGGCCGTCTCGGGCGCGACAGCTCCCGGACCGGGACCCCGGGCGCCTGCGGACCGTTCGGGACTTTTCGCGGCTGTCGCTCCGTAACCACGCCATAATGACAGAGGCGAACGCGGCGACGCCGAGAGCGAAAGACCGGGCGACGCGTACGGTACCGCGCGCACAAGAACGTTTGCGGCAAAGTGCGAAGACGGTTTTATTGGAAGAAAACAAAATACACACATATACGTACAACCGCACGTCCAACCGCCCGACCGGATCCTGCGTATTAATGATGCGCACGTCGACCGCAGGGGTACCTCGCGTGGCCGGTAACGGGTGTGACGATCCCGCGGACCCCAGTCATTCGCGCGGACGGGTAGACTGAACGATCGCCACGAACGATCGTTCGTGGCGACTTGAACGTCGTTCCAGGTGAGTAGGTACCGAACAAGACCGAGGTACCGAAGCCCGTCCGCGCCATCAGCCACTAGTCATCAGGTGGCGGACCGATCCCTTTGTCGGGCGGAAGGGATGTGCGGTGTGGTCGTCGCGCCGGGACCGCCGAGTCCCGGCGCGCAGTAAAAAGAATAGCAAAATAAGAACAAAACGAAAACCGTTACGCACCGACGGACCGTGTTACACAAGACGGAACAGATCGGTGAACGAGCACAAGTCGATTTTTCGAGGCCAACGAGCCGAAAGTCATAATAACATTATGTTATAGTGTCGAGAGCATAAGACTGAAAATGTAAAAGAAAATAACGAAAAGAACCGAAGAACGTTATTCCGAAAAACGGACGACCGCCGCTGCAGCTCCTTCCCAGGTCCATCGCGTACGATGGAATACCGAAGATCCAAACATCAGTACGCGAACCGCATGGAGCGCCCCACGTTCAAGGGCGACGGGTGTGACAATCCCGCGGACTCCAGTCGCGTGCGGACGCGCATAGCCTGAAGGGACGCCATCGATCGTCTCAGGTCAGTAGGTACGACCGCTAGGGCCGAGGACGCGTAAATCCCCCTCTTCCCTCTCTCCGAATAGGTTTCACACATTTTAAAATTTTTTTTTTCTAGCTGTTTAATTATATTATTAAACACGCGGTTTTCTCAATGACATTTTTATTCGCACTTTTTCTTGAACGCATTGGTTAGACAACGGTGCATTAGATACTTCAATGGTTTTGTACTACCTGACGTGTTCAAAATTGTCCAGGACTGTTTGAATTGCGCGCTAACACAGCGTCCAAGTGCAGCAGGATCGATGTCACTGTATTCTGTGACTTCTCCTGGGCACATTTGTCTTTATAGATTGCCTATAATCTTTTTTTGTTTCGATATCATCGGCGTTTTTGCGCAATATTGTTTTCGTGTGTGGCGATTTGTTGTAACGGATCCGATGAAAAGAGCTTTTTGAGGCGAGCGTGGGTTCTTTCCGTTTCGTCGACAGAGGAACGCAACGACAATGAGTCATGGTATTATGTCGAATGGCTTGTTATCGAATTGCAAACGAACGCATATAGACCTAACCTAACATCTATAGAGAATGTGAAAAGAAACGCCGAGAAACGAAACGGAATCCAAATTCGGGCGCGCCGGGAACTTTTTGGTACGGTAAATGACTATTAAAGAAACGTCGACATTTCATCATAATAATAATCGTTACCCATCATTTATGTGGAACCGGCAGTACGTAAGAAAAATCTTCTCCAACCTTGTCGAGCTTGTCAAGTCGCTCTTTAGGGTCCGTTAGAATAACGGCCAATTGCGAAAAACGTGTTTTACAAAACCATCGTCACGCCAAAACAAAGAAAGTTGTAGCAATCTGCAAATATAGATGTCCCCACGAGAAGTCACAAAAGCCAGTGATAACTATCCTACTGTTCTCGAACGCTCCGTTGGCGCGCAATTTAAACAGTTCTGGACCTTTTTGAACAAGCCCCGTGTATTCAATTGAAAATCTATTGTTCTGACGCTAATCAATAACATTTTCAATAGTTATCGTCTCAAACTTTCCTTTTTCTATTTTTTTTTTTCATTTTTCTTTTTTTTATTTATGACTTTCCGAAATAAACGCTAAAAGTCCTTCGTGCCCTGGTATATTCACTAAGATCGTGATGAACAAGCCCGTCCGCACAAACCAACCTCCATGCACATACGAGTGAGGTTGGCGCGCCCCGCATTCCATTCAACGGGGCTAATTCGTTTGTTGTCAAACGAGGTTATTAGATTAAGGGTGTACAGTAGTGATGAAGTCCTATGCACAAGCTCTAATGGTATTCCGGCGTCTATCGAGCGTCGGTCCTTTAAACGCGTCAAGTCAAAATCATTATGCTGAATTGTGTTATAAACAGTTAATCTCGTGGAAAAAGAAAAAAATTAATTTTATCACGAACGGTTTATTGCGTATACGTATTAAAAGTATGGACGTGCGGTTTATCAAAAAAAAAAAAAAAAAAAAAAAATAAATAATGAAAAAATAACCATAATAACAAACCGATTGCTGATCGAGTACAAAAGTAGAACGGCAGTAGTGGCGCTGCTGTACGCAGTCGGCGAAATAAAAAACACCTTAGGGGCCGGCCGAACTCCGCCGACGCAAGTCCGCGGTCACGGCCGCCTCTAAATGCGTACGTTAAATTTTACACGTATACGACCGAGTGGCCGCGTGTACAGTTTGCGCCACTGCAGTTTTAGACAAGCGTAAAATTAAGTTCATTCAAATATTAAATAAAAATAATCATTTAAACTTTAACATAACTTTTAATTAACTATTAATGTCAACCGCTTTATAATAAATATAAGTTTTGTTATTACGCGCGGAGGGTTGTGGAGAAAAACGAACGAGCGTATGGCCGGATTACGGGTGTTATGGGGGCCCGGGGGCTAGAGACCGAAATTCATCGGCGAAAGATTCGCATAAAATGATCTTCTAATATTCGTGTAGCGAAAGACCGATAAGAAGAAGGTCGTCAACAAAAGCGTACGTTGCGTGGCCCCTTTCAACTTGCGGCCCGGGACTGTAATGCCCCTTAGCCTCCCCACCCCCATCGATCCAGCTCTCTGGATGAGCGAATGGAATCGGGATAAAAAAAAAAAATATCTATAACTGCGAAAAAAAGATCACGATGACGGTGTATAATAGTCCAAGTGGACACGTAAATCGGTGTGCACAGGTTCGGAAATATTGACTGCTGTCGTTTTTTTCCCCCGCAGCCCTTCGTTTATATATTATATGTGTATTTTATTAATAAAAAAAATTAATTAGTCGGAAAGCGTACGACAGTATATGAAACAGTGGCGCGACTATAGAGACGGCGAGACAAAAGACCTCAGGGGCGGCCCGAACTCCGCTGACGCAAGTCCGCGGTCACGGCCGCCTCTAAATGCGCACGTTAAATTTTACACGTATACGACCGAGTGGCCGCGTGTACAGTTTGCGCCACTGTTTAAGGCACGTAAAATTGAGTTTATCGGAATCTCTTTTTAAATCATATGTTATAGGTATATTATAATAAACGCACGAGAATAATGATTGTTAAATTGACGCGATTAATTTTAAAAAGAAATACATTTCAAATCAGTCGACCAGGAGGTGTTCGTATCGATAATTTTATTATTATACGGTACGCATATTCACCATTTTTATCAATAAAAAAAAAAAAATCAATTAATTACAAAGAGCACGAGAGTAGACGGCAGTGGCGCTACTGTGGAGTCGGCGAAACAAAAGACCTCGGGGGCGGCCCGAACTCCGCCGACGCAAGTCCGTGGTCACGGCCGCCTCTAAATGCGCACGTTATGTTTACACGTTCGGCCGAGTAACCGTTTGCGTGGTTTGCGCCACTGTTTGAGGCGCGTAAAATCGAGTCTACTCGAATCTCTTTCTTAAATCGCATTCAATAATAAACGTTATAATAAAGAACTTTTCAAAATTCCGTCGCTAATCCATTCCATAGCGTATTTTATTTAAGGAAAAAAAAATAACAACCAACCAATACAACTTAATAATATAATCCAAACGATATGAATGATATGAATGATTTGTAGTTTTCAACGATTATCGATTCATTTTAGTCCGCCACACATTATATTTACATTTACATCACGTTAATTTATCTCTATATTATTGTTATTATTATCTCTATTATTATTGTTATTATTATTATTATATACTCGTTATTGGCTTTTATTGTCTAGTTTATTGGTGTTCGATTTAATAATAATATAAAAAAAATTTTTTTATCGTGATAACGTAATTATTCGTTTAATATTAATCATTTAAAGTTATAAATAGATTTTAAGAAACCAAAAAAAATTTACTTTATTCTCTATTCGATAAATATTTAATAAGTGTGTTGTTGTTTTTAATGTTTACAATTTTATCATTATTTATCTACTAGGTTATTTTAGTTTTGTTTAAGTTCTCATATGCTAAATACTGTGATTACAAATGGAAAACGCTTATTTATTCATTCACCCCGCAACATAGTTTTCCTTTAATTTTAATTTAATTTAATTTAATTTAAAAAATATATATAATTAATACCGAATAACCTAATTGTTAAAAATTCTAATATTAAAAATAATTTAATTCATTCGCATTGATCTCGCGAGTCTCGTATATTGTACAATAACAACCTCGTTACGAAATACGGGACCCGCCCCACAGGCGGTGTTTCGGTCGGCCGCCACTGTTAGAGGTCGTACCGGTTCACCTGGTGAGTGGCGACACCATGGGTTGCCGAGCCCAGCGAGCGCCCGGTCCCGAAACACGTCACTAACATCGGCGCATGTATTCCGGGCCGGGGTAAGTCTCGGTAATGCGGGGCGCGGCCCGTCCCGTTGACGGGACCGCCGATAGCCCCGCAGGTCGTCCGCACTCGGGAGTCGCGACGCTTCGGCCTCGCGAACCCGGCGGACGGCCCGTCGCCGTTGTCGCCGAGCGGCCGCGGTCGCGTACATCAACGGCCCGGCGATAACCGGCTATAATAAGACCGGAAAACCCGGCGACCGCGCGGTTTTCCGGCGCGGCTCCGATGACGCGGACGGACGGGCGCCGCGGCGGTCGGTGCCAAGGCCCGCCGGCCGCTGCGGCCGCCGCGCCCGCGGTCCGCACCGCCCCGGGCCGTACGTCCGGCGGCGGATAGCGCCTAGCCGCCTGTCTCCACGGAGGGCCGCGAAAGCGCTCGCGGATCCCGATTCCGGAGCCGCCGACACACGCCGACGGATACGCGAACAATACGGACGGCTCGTGTAGTGGTCGTTTACGCCGTTTCGCGATGCGCCGCGTATACCGAGTGACGGTTCCGAAAGACGTTGTTGCGCGTGTGTAAAGACGAAAAAACCGTATAAACGTCCGGACGTTTCCGATACGGACGCGGGAAAACGACGCAGTGCCGTAGTCGTCGAGGACGCGGGAACCACCGTCGCCGTCTGGCCGGCCGACCGACCGAGAATCCGCGTTTCGCGACCGCCGTCCGGGCACCGCGAACGTCGCGCGGGACACACTCGGATGCAACAGGTTTCGCGCCGCGCAGCGTGTGTCCCGGCCGCGGTGGACACGAAATCGTCGTGAGTGTGTGCGCCCGTCGAAAAGACCGCGCCCGCGTCGTGCCGTCCGCGTACGTTTTTCGAGTTTCTAGGATTAGGAAAAACAATTTTACTTTTTTTTTTTCTTCGTTTCATTATTATTATCGTTTAAGTTTTTTTTTTTCAACCCGTTTGTTCACGACGGCAGTGTATTGTCAAGTAATATTTAAACGTAAGCGCAACATGCATTAATATTATCAGGTTTTATTATATCGTTAAGGATTTTAGGTTTACGAGGAATGTTAACGATAATATAATACACGCAATGAGTAGCAGAATTAATTTGCGGTTATTTTTAAGTAAAAACGTACTATAAGTATAATAAAATGTGTGCTAATATAATAATATGTCTATATGAAGGTTAGGTTAACAACAGACGGGGCGCCCGACGGACACCCGTGGGGGGGGGGCGAGGACCCGCCGTAACGGTTTTTCGCGTACGAATGCGTTTTTCCGCCCATCCCGCCGACGGATTCTGGTACGACGCACGCACGCGCGCGCGGATATCCGGCAATACGGCCGCGGCCGCGGAGAAAACGACAAACCGAGAACCGACGGACGTCCGCCCCACCCCCGGGCCCATCCGGACAGCGCGCCGTCCAAAAAAAATAAAAAAAATAAAAAATAAAAAAAAAAATAAATGTCTTTAATATTAAGGAATTTTAGCAATAAGATGATTATTCACCAATATTAACGTTAAGTTCGTAGAAGTTAAGGGATAAAAAAAAAAAATAAATAATTTATAATCACACATATATATTTATATATATTTATTAAAAAAACATCGATGTACGAGTAGTTGACTAGGTATAATACACATATATTCTCTTATTAGCGGGTAGGTACGTCGGTGTTTTGGAACGTAGATTTTTCTTTTAGACGCTTATTGGTTATATAAAATAACGTTTATGCACGCGATTTTTAAAATAAATATTATTACTCGCACTATATATATATTAAAAAAAAAAAAGAGGATGGACGCCAGATATTTAAATTTTAAGTTTCATTTCATTAATAGAACATAAGGACAAAAAAAATTTAAAACGATATTAAAAAAACGCAAAAAAAGTTTTTTCCTCTTTCTCTCCCTGTCCCTCACTCTCTCTTCGTCTTATGAACCGCCACATTATAACATCATATTATAAATTATTATTATTACCCGCCCGTAATGTTATCACCATTATTATTATTATTATCATTTATTTATGTTACTCCGTTTTATTATAAACCCGATCATATTATTATTATTATTATTATTGTATCCACAGTATGTTCATTTATTTATGTTACTCCGTGTTATTATACACCCGATCATGTTATTATTATTATTATTATTGTATCATCGTTTATATATTTTCTTAGTGTTGACGGTTCTGACTAATCTACTATCCCCCCCCTTCCACTTAAAATACATTATTTAGCATAGATGCCGCGAATATTACGAAAAAAAAAAAAAGGAAAAAAAAACTGTTATATTACACCGTGGCGAAGTTTTTGTACTTTTTTTTTTGACGTGTATTACGTGACACATTATTATTATGATCCCGTCAAATTCCGTTATATCGTTTTATTATTTACTACCCCTCTATTTACCCCTCAATTTACCTTGTAGCGTATATTTCGTAAATATTACGGGGGGGAAAGAAAAAAAAAACTGTTACATTATACCGTAGTGAAGTTTTTGTAATTTTTTTTTTTTTTTTCCCCGTAATTTTTACGAGTTTGCGTAGTACCCCGGCACATTTTTGTTTTGTTCTCATTGTCTACTGCAGTTATCGCTGTACAAACGTATTATAAATAATTATTGTTACTACAACCCGTCTCCCCGCCCTAATGAATGTGCACATCACTCAGTATGTACGTGTGCCGCCAAAACATCACGAAAAACTATTGTGTTTTATAACGTGTGTCACGGCGGAATACTTATATACCCTTTTATATTATTTTGAATTATTATATTATGTTTTATTATCGATTTTTATTGTCAAATTTTAAATACCCTCTCTCCACTCATCCCTCTTAAAATACTTACTATGCTGTAGACGTGTCGCGAAATATTACAAAAAAAAAAAATGCACTGTTATATTACACCGTTGCGGAGTCGTTTTCTGATTGTGTATTTACGCGTACCGAATTTAGTTTTTTTTTTTTGTTGTTGTAACGGTTTTACCGAACGACCCGCACCCGTTTTTGTAATAATAATATTATAATCGTATTGTACGGCTCAAGATTATGATTTTTGATCCATTTAAAATACATGTATACCGTAGATGTCGCAAAATGTCGCATAAAAAAAAAACAAACTGTTGTATTGTAACATGTTGTGAAGTTGTTTTTTTATTTATTGTGTATATTATGCTGAAAATAAATAGTCCCTGTAGTCCGAAATCCGTTGTGTTGTGTTTATTTATTTTCAATATCCGTCGAAAGGCGGTTATTGTGTCATAGAGTAACCTATAATATCCACTATAAACAATTTTCGAAAAAAAGGTTAAACGAAACGGACAATTGCGGTGTGGTCGCCATAATAGAGTGTTGCCGATCTAAAGCGGACAAAAGAAAAATTATGAAACCACAGAGTGCATGATAATTCGAAAATGTAAGTAATTAAGTAAGAACACGTTCCACGAAATATACAACTCTGCGGTTTTGATAAAAAAAAAATAAATTAAAATAAAAAATAAAAAATGCGAACGAATAGCAACAATTATCAAAATATCGTTATCAATATTACAGGCAGGTATCGCAGTTTTCAGTGATTCTCGAATTAGAAAACTGTCGCAAAGGTATACACGGTTAGAATCGGTTAAAGCGGTTAAAATTACAGTTCGCATGGACCACACGAACGCTGCTATATATCAAACATTAACGCAACGTTACCGATTTGTGGTTTTCGAACTGTGAACTAGGTATTGATAGTTACAGGTACTGAAACAGTTCAGAATTGTTCGACATAGTGAATATAGTTCAAACGAACTCGACACCGTTTCTCTACGAAACACGCCGTGTACAAAATTACGCACCCCTCGAAAACGATCGGGCGCAACAGGTGGGCGGCGCGCGTTCGCCAGCAGACGTAGGTATAATGTATACTCGTATAAAACGAAAATAATAATAATATCTACTTAACGTAAAGCGTGCAATATTGTCCCGCAAACTTGATTTTTTATGCTGAAAAGTTTAAATCCTCCGGATCGTTCGTAGTAATGAATGATATTTTTCTTCTTTCCGAAACAAAAATAAAAAATAAAAAAAAAAAACCACTCCTCGATCATACAAAGTCTGTAATGTCCGGGTTCGAAAATTAACGTCTACAGCGTACTCAGTTTTATAATCAAATATCGTTTTACCTCTCGAAAATTCAATTTTCTATTTCGCAAGCAGATCTACGAGCGCTATAAAAATAATTCGGAGGACGAATTTCCATCCAATAGCCCCGGCGAAAATCGATACATAAAATATTCATTGCCCGTTTCGAAATGTTAATTTAACACGATATTTATTACATTAATACGGGTCGCGTTATAATATGCCAACAACTCGACAAGTCAAACACGACCGGAATAAACAAAGTCGACAAAAGTTCCGTCGTAAATTATATAGTATAAAAATAAAGCGAAAAGAAAACCCTCCCCCCTGGTCAACGTTAGGTACGTTTTAACCGAAAACGCATATTATAGCGTATCTACTTTTAATTATATATATAAAAAAAAAAAAAAAAAAACGCATAAAATCGTCCAACGTCCGGATAAGTGTATAAAAAACTTAAAAACGAAAAAAAACAAAAAACTGCCCGGGATAAACGTGCGAAAAACCTACAAAAATTCAATTCGAAATCATAACGTATATCGGACGATATAGGTGAGTTTTTAACGGTGTCGCCGAATATTCCGAAATTGTCGACAAGAGTTGACGGTGTTATACATGGTAAGACGAATAAAGCACGCCATAATCACTTACCTAAATTTGTTTAAATAATAAATAAACCGCCGACTTTAACACGTAAAAAATCACAAAATAAATAAATATTTAAAACTTAAACTAAAACACCTAATACATTAATAAAAAACATACATCTTAATTAAGGATTTCATTTAGAAGAAATTAATCTGAAAAAGCCAGTTATACACGATGTTTTTTCCGTTTTATAAGCCAATATGAATATTTTTTTTTTATTCTTGTTGGCATCTGATTAAAATAAATAGGACCTAAGTAATCTACGAATGATTTCCCAAACGATTTTCTTGTATACATCACGGATAAGTTAAAAGCTCTATGTTCTCTAGATTTAGAAAAATCATACACGTTGGTTTTGTTTTTTAGACATTTTTTAATTGTAAACCTTACAGTAAGGCGTTTTTCTTGTATAACTGTTTAGCCGGAAGGAAACTTAAAAGCTTATAATTTAGTTTCACTGAATCTTCTAAAGATTTTTACCAAAAATTATTCTTATTACGTTATTTTGATTGATGAAATGGTTTCAAACTATTTTCTTTAGCACCACCCCATACTAAGGGCACATACTGAAAGATGGATTGATATATGGCAAAATTGATCAAACGCATCGTTAGAGCCGGCAATAGATCTCTTAGGTTTAAAAATTGATAGATTGTGGCACGGAGTTTACTAACTTAATTGTAAATATGTAGGTTCCACTCAAGTTTCCATCAAATGTAACACCTAAATAACGGATTTTAGATATTCGCTTGAATTGTTTACAGTTTATATTTTACACGTTAAAAAATTGTTACAATTGCTTGGATATATACTGAAGGAGGCAGTGGCGTATCTGGAGCTCAATCAAGGAGGGGGTGGTTTAAAAATTGCAATACACCACAAAATATCGCGAGGGGTTTCCTAGTCCCAAAAAAGCAACTTTTTTTTTTTATAATATTCTTCTCCTTAGTAATTAAAAAAAAAAAAAAAACAAAAATTATGTAGGTAGGTATATATGTTACGACCAAAATCCGAAATCGGGTAAATCTCAGAAATGTGAAAAATTGAAATGTATGGACGTTACAGTTTCGCTCAAATGATGTTGCAAGTCACTTCTATGTAGATTTGTCCGGAAAAAAAACCGAAATATAATATTTCGCCAAAGTATCGTGGGCATTTTGCGTTTTGCCCGAGCGTTTCTGAGATTTGCACGATTTCGACGTTCATCCGTAACGGCGTAATACGCCACTGGACGGATGGGAGTGTTCGAATACCTAAAAATCCCACTCTTCTACCGTAAACGTCTACGAGTCAAGAGTTAAACGAAAAAAATAAAAAAAATCATTGGGTATTTTTCCGCGGTGTTCCGCGAGATCATTCACAGCAGACTCGACGATGTATCGGTGCATATTGTTTACGAAAAGTCGACGGTGTTGAATTAAAAAAAAAAAAAAACCTAAAGTAAGTAAAACTTACGATATTTTAATAGTAATTACATACGCGTACCTATTACGTGCGTGATTGACGTGCCGCAACCGTCAACTCTGAGGCTCGTGCGCAAGGATATGTTTTGAGGGCCCAAATTACGATTCTTGTTTCTATCACTCGAATGTTGTGTTATACTGTTTACAAGTTGACGGGTACTTAATTTTTTTACATTAAAACTTTTATAGGATCGTTTGTAATTTGTCCATAAAATGTCCATACTATTGTTCAGGTATAATGTTTATTTATTAAAAAAAAAAATTATGAATTTAAGCTTTTGGGACCCTTTAGAGTAGGTGTGCTGCAGTTTGTATTGCAAACTTCGCACACGCAATTGTTATGGCGCCGGACGTGTTGAATTTTGTAATAAGTTCAATGCAATTATTTTTAGTGCCTATAAGCAGTGCTGGGAAAATTAACCAATGTTCTTGTTTAAATAAAATAAAAAGTTAATGACCAAAGTATAACGTATTATTCTACGATATAGATAAAAGATAACTTACCGCTATCCAGATAACATAAACAAAATATTGGGTACATTATTATACTATATATTAAGATAGTTCAAATAAACGTCTTATCAAAATAGTATCATGTGGCAATATTGTAGATATTACAAAAAACCTATCTAATATTTCTTTAATATGATAAAAAAAAAAAAAAAAGTACAAAAAAAAATATTATCATATCTATGTGAATTACCAAGATTATATAAAAAAAAAAAAAACTAGATCTATAAATTGTGTTTCACAACTTCCACTTATAGTCTTTCTAACGATTTCTGTCCTCTGCGTCTTCTATTATAAATTGCTGTTCAATCCTTATATTAGATTATTTTCTGCACGATCCATCCAAAGTTGTCGCGGGCTTCCTTGAAGTCCATATGAATTATTTATTAGAATAATATGGATCAAATCGTGCATTACCGATACCCTATATTCTTTTGGATACTAATTAATGTTTGAACGTTCGGTCTGTTGAATAAGTTTTCAATGTCCACCTAGATCCATAGATTTTCTAAGAATCTTTTTCTAGAACCTCAACAGTTTCTCCCTCGCCACCTTTAGTCGTCGGTCATGTTACGCATCCATACGCGGCGAAAGAATTTTAATCTACGTACTTATTAAACACAATTATTATTAAGAAGATAAAGATAAAATTAAAAGACGGGCATACTTCGCACGTGGGTTGTAGGTGAGAAGTTGGGAAGGTAGAAGAGAAATTGAATACATATCTGTACGCAACGATTAACCATTGCTAACGAAAAACGATTCTGAGTGGAGTTCGGTTAATAGTATTGCTTTTATCAACAATATATAAGTTACATTATGGTAAAATAATTGCACAATATGCATTATACATTTTCCTTAATAATATTTGTTTAATATTGTATTTAATTTCTTGTTTTCCTCATTTATTGGGAAAATCAAAACATTACCTCTCTAAAGTACCACCCCAGTCAGATTTAATTTCAGAAAAGGCACTATACTTGATACTTCGGAGCGAGATTTCTGGTGGAATTTTGGGACACAAGTGTAAAAAAATAAAAAAATAAAATAAACACCTTAGTAAAACCTATACATTCTTCGCAACACTCAGAATCTAAAAGATATAAATATACATAACGATTTTATCTAAACAAAAGTAAAAATGTATGTTATTATGAAAACATATAGATATCTATAGATAGAGATGTGAGTTTGGATTGTACAGTGGTATAAAACCTATTTTACAAGATATTAAGTACACGGCACACAATTGTTTTATACAAACTTGTATGGAAAACAATTTAAGGCGTTATTTTTAGTTACTATTGTCATATTGTATATAATTATTATTATCATTTATTATTTTAACATGTTGTTTTCTCGTTGCGTATCCATTCTAAAAATATCCATAGCTGCATAATTTTATCCTTATCAACTTTATCAAACTGTATAAAATATATTGTTATTGACATTGCATAGT